TTTCCTTCTGTTCTGATAGCCTTTCGTCGTGGGTCTCATCATGGCCTTCGTGGCTGCCGGAAACCTTTTCACAACTCTGTACGTCGTGCGTCAAAAGTGCACTCGCCTCAGTCCCGTGAAACGCAAACATCTGAGCAAGAAATACAGTATGAAATACGTGCACGCCTCGGACCTGCTGAGTGATCGCAGTGAGGACGTACCGACGCGAAAGATGCATTAGAGGACTTCCCGTAGTCTGTTGGAGGCGGCCGTCTCCATGTCTGCAGCCGGCTTTTCATTCCCCTCCTGGCACACGCTCTGGTCAAAACGCTGCACGCCTCTGTTTCCTTCCTTCTGTCTCCGCCTCCCCCCCCAAGCTCGCTGACTGAGTGCTAGATGCAATCGAATGTCACCCCCTCCCCCACCTTGCCCCTGTTTTGTCTCTTCCCCACTCTTTGTTACCTGATCGCTATAAAACGTGTGGGCAACCTTGCGCAATTAATTAAACTTGATTTATGCCATATCTGGCTTTTGAGTCTCCCCCTCACACGTTCACGTAGGGTTTCGGATGGCCCAGCTTGTGCCTTCGCTTAAGTCTCGACCCGCTAACCGTCTGCACAACCCACAATAAATTACTTACTTTTTACCTGTGGCCTCCTTTAGCCTCCAGCGGAAGTATGTCTTGGTGGAAGACTAATAAACACCTAGGGGTTGGGCAGCAAGTCCACACTAAATACATGCTACGACAACATTATTATGTGTTATTCACTGTGAACCCATAGTCTAGTAAACCTCAAAGCAGCCGCTACTTCTGAGCCCAGCAACCTGATAATCGATCGTGACAGACATTTGCGAGGGTGTGCTGCGGGAAGAGCCTTTCCCGCGGACTTGCGTGCGCAGTACACTGTGCCAAAACAGCGATAATTGTCTACTGCCAGGAAGACAAATACTTCAAAGGGTTTCATAACAGAAGGAGAAGATGTGGTCGTCGTAACAAGGAGTTTATTTGCCCGGCGTTTCGGACCCTTGCTTGAACCCACCATCAGAAACAATCGCAGATAGGGGGTGATAGATGCAAAGGATACGCACTCTAATTATGGGTTCGGCTAACAATCCGAGAGGACAACCCAATAAACT